AAAATACCTCAGAAACTCGAACAAATAGGCTTTAACAAGGCTTTAATAAGCTAAACAATAGAGGTACAGGACAAAATGTGTTCATAACGAATGAAAATAAATAAATAATTAAATTGTATCTGTGCTGGTCTCAAACCCTGGTCTCCCACTCTCTGGTCCGACACTCTACCCATTGCCCTATTGGAGGCTTGTTGTGAAATGAGCTGCRCATTGTACAACAACACCGTGATGGCTTTTTATACTGAGGTGGAGTTTCACCCGGGGGTTGCTAGGTAAGGGGCTGAACGCAGGATGCGGTGGGTTGTCGTACGGCTTGTGACATCACAAAATAACGAAGGTATAAAACTTGTCGTTAATATACATAAAAAATACATTTACTTACAGTAAATATGCCCCTGGGTGCATTTTTTGGTCCTAGGACTGTTTTTTTTTAAGAAGTACTGTACATACCCAAAGTTGAGTAAAAAAACCTTTTAAAAAGTGAATTTTGCATAATAGGTCCCCTTTACGTATCTATTATTATTATGTTTATTACCCTCTCACACAGGAACATTAACTCATTTATTTTTGTCTCATGCTCAGCGTCTCTCTTAAACAAAAATAATGTTACTTTCTTAACCACTTCCTTCCCACCTTGAGGGTTTTGAGCGTTATTGCTGAGGATGACTGTGACGATCAGGGAAATAAAAAAACAGTGATGGAACATTAAGCGCCCTGAAAGCATTAAAAATAAAGTGGCACAGGAAGAGAAAATCATCTTAGTTGGAGGAGAAGCATCCGATTACGACTTTTCTTTTCAAATGAACCAAAGAAAAGATGTACGCCAAAAGAAAGGAAACACAGATTTGATGATTATGATGCCAGACACAAAAGAGCATTAGGGTGCCACATTATGAGAACATGAATAAGTCAAAGAGGGGATATCGACTCTTCTAGGTGTAGCCTTTTAAATGTCAGGCGGTGACCATTTAAATGGGTTTAATCACATGTTTGCAAATTACACTTGTGTCGGCACATTAAAGACACAGGAACAAACCCAAACAGTTCTTCCTCTGTGCACAGTGTGTGCCACTGCTGCAGTTACTGCCTCAGAAATACAAGCAAACAGCTCTGTCCACTGAGGTTCCCATACCATAGTATGACATGATGGGATGTGACAGCAATACCCTCACAGGAAAAATTATGTAGTTTCTTACGGGTCCCCATGAGAAATCACAGACATACTTCCATAGCTCTGACAGAAAGAGGGAGAGGGGGGAAGAGAAACAAGATGTCAGAGAGAGTGAAAAAAGGTGGACAGAAAGCTTGAAAACCATTTAGACTCACAAAACACAACCATGAATTTGATGACTAATGGATTCATGTAAAGGCAAAGGGCTTGAATACGATTAACTCACACTTTGCAATAAATTCAAAATTGGACATAGAAAATATGTTTCTAGAAAAAACTGCAGCAGAATGGATGTAAAATATGCAACTGTTGTGTAAAAATATATTTGCATGATGCTTTTGCAGCATCTGAACTTCTCTATATTACCATAAAATGTGTACATTTCTTGTGCAAGTTAAGCCAAAATAATATACCGCTTATTGTTAAAAAGCTTTAAATTGCTTGGTTATTTGTCTCTATGTGATGGACTTATCTATGACCTGTCAAAGATGTACCCTGACATTTGAACAGCGATCACTGGACAGAGTCTGGTTAGATATTTTTTATATCTTCCTTTGTTTTAGGAAGTTATTTTTATTTTAACGATYCCTGCTTTTTATGATCGTCTAAAACTGTTTGAATGTTTTGTCATTTTATTATGCTTGTGTGTGTAACTCTTTTATGATGTGTCTATTTGTGCCCAGGTCCTCCTCAAAAATGAGATCTCAATCTCAGTGGGGTTTTAAATTTGGTGAAATAAAGGAAATTTTCATAAAATGATTTGACTGTTTTCTCTACACTGACTTTTTTCAGTGCCTCTCATTAACTTGGCTGTCAGGGAGTGAGAGACACAGGTGTGACCATAATAAGCCACTGGCAGCAGGTGTAACATTTCTTTTGATCATGGTTCTCTTTACACATTTTATACAGGTTATAAATCAAAACGGTCATTTTTTTAAAGCTTAGGTTAAAGTTGATGTTGGAACTTTGGGCAGAAGCCTCAACCCTTTCCTTTCATCAGGAGTTTTCTTGTTTATTATATTGTTTTATTTTCTTGTGCTWCACAACTAGTGGTGTACCAGTCTTTACAACTTATGCACATTCAAAATGCCTCGATACCTAGAACAGATACAGATACTAATACCGATACCAGGTTTGATACCAATTTGAAAGCGTTCCAGTTTGTACAGTATTTCAAGTGAGAGTTTGTGAGTTCAATGTTTAATTCAATTCAAATTCAATTCAAAAATACTTTATTGATCCCAGAGGGAAATTTGGTAAAAGGGGCATTATCCTGTAAAATCAACTTTTAAGAGTTTTATATCATGTTATAATGTTATACTCTCATAAAAAAAACATGCCCAAAGCCTTGCTCTGACTCATTCATGCATGTTTGAGAAATCCTG